TCTTACTTTAGGTTCCTCTGGTGGCTCAGATGGCAAAGAATCTGCCTGCAATGTGGGAGACCCAGGCTCCATGCCTGGAAGCTTACCTGGAGAAGGGAATGGCTACCCGCTAGGACAGAGGAGACTGCCAAGCTATAGTCCATGGGGTTGCAAAGAGTTGGACACGGCTCAGCGACTAACACTTTCATTTTCTCTCTTACTTTATCTTGTCTGATACTTGTATGCCTACCTCTTGCAAGTTCTTGACTCCAGGGAAACTGGTATATTTGTAGTTCTCTTGGCCCACAGAAAACTGTTCCACATTTCTATGTCTTCACCAGTGTCACTCACTCAATTCAGTCCTTGTTCAGTAGGTGAACTCCTATTCATACTTAAAAGCCCATGTCAGGTAGGGCACATAGTGGCACTCTCCCCAGGAAGATGGCAGGTGCTGTGGTCCTCAAGAAGTGTGTTGTTTCTGCCAGATTCAGCAAGATCAGCCAGCTGCTTATTGGGATAGAATGGGGGTTCTGGTCAACTGTTTTGTGGTTTGGGGTAAACTTTACCCATCACCAAAGGAAAGGCATCAGCCTCTCCACCAGCCCCCGGGCCATAAGAACTCCCTGCAATCTTGGCCAGATTTGCTCTCTTTGTTATATGGAGGGAGAAGGGTTAATGTCACCCTTAGTCTCAGGACATTTTTATTGGTTTTACAGGATGGACCTTCAAGCCAACCCAGTCTTTAGGCCTTCAGACAGGCCTCAAAGAGACTTACAAATAAACCTCAAGCTTCTCAGATTGGTCTCAAAGGGACCCTCACCTGGATCCTCATACTGGCCTCAGAGGGACCCTTCAATGGGCACAGATCAGAACACACAGACCTGCATAAGGAAACCATTTCCTCCAGCCTCGGTGCTCAGTTGCTCAATCGTGTCCAAGTCTTTGCGACCCCACGGACTGTAGCCCACCAGGCTCCTCTGTCCCTGGAAGTCTCTAGGCAAGAATACTAGAGTGGGTCGCCATGCCCTCCTCCAGGGGCTCTTCCCAACCCAGCGACTGAACCCAGGTCTCCACATTGCAAGCGGATTCTTTGCCATCTGAGCCACAGGGAATCCCAAGAATACTGGAGTGGGTAGCCTATTTCTTCTTCAGGGGATCTTCTGACCCAGGAATTGAACTGGGGTCTTCTGCATTGCAGGCGGAGAGGTTCCTTCAAAGACACTCTCCCAAGAGCCAGCACCCAGCCCCCACTGCCCACATGCCTGCAGGACTGTCTGGGAGAGCATTCCTGAGTCTGAAGGCCTAACTGGGGAAGACTAAGGATGCTCGTGGTGGCCATAGCGACCAGCTCGATGTCCTGGCTCAGAGCAGGTGGGACACTCAACTTTCCCCACCTTATTGCCACTCTGGGGAGTCTAGTAACCAGAATGACCCTCTCCAAAGAATCAGGGATCAGAGGGCAGAAAGGGTGGGGAGAAAGCTGTCCCAGTGTAGGACAGAAAGAATCTCTGGGGAGGAGGGGGATGGGGGCGGCTGGAAATGGAGATGAAGAGAGCAAGAAAGGTGGCCCAGGCTCTTTCTCTGAAGCTCTGAGCTTGTTTTACCCAGGGGGCCCCTGGGGGCTATGGCACCAAGGCCAGGAATTTACAGAATTGGGTTGTAAATGTCAGTGTGAAATCTACCTCCTGTGTGTTCAACACAGTCAGGTCCATGCCTGGGAGGGTGGGCTGGCATTGCCAACTGAATACCCCCAGTTTCCCCACCTGTTCTTCCTCCAGGGCTCCCCAGCTCAGAGGAGGGTCCCACCAGCCCCTTGTCTCCCCAGCCTGAGAGCCTCAGCTCAACCTGAACCAACGCCAACCCAACCAGCCTGGACTTTTCCTTTCCCTCCCACCAACCTCCAGAATCAGTCTCCCAGAAACCACCTCTGAGCTTTTGGAACCTGCAAGGGATCCCCACAGCCCAGGGTAAAGTCAAAGCTCCAACTCTTGGCTACCTCTGACCACCCCAGAGTCCTCTGCTTGCACACACCTTACTTTCTGGCCAGATTCAGCCGTGCCCAGCTCTCATTCCCAGACCTTTGGTCCTGCCACACCCCCAGCCTGCTGCCTTCGGTCTGGAGCTACTCATTCCATTCACGCCTTTGCTGGTATCACAAAGCCATTCTCCTTCAGTAGTGCCACCACAACGCCCCCTCCTGCCTAGGATCCTGTGGCATTTTCACCATTTCTAACAAACAAACAAAAAAAAAAAGAGTCCTGTGCTGGGCGATAAGGACTCTTGAGTGATTCACTGTTGAGTTCCATTAACAGTGTTTGCCCAGATGAAGTCATTCGTGCAGTCATTGTGTGTTTGTGGAGCGCCTACACCACTCCTGGCTGCCTGGGCCCTGGGGCACAGCTGTGATGAAGACAGGACTGGACTCATGCTGTCCCAGGGGCGTTAATTCTCGAGTGTGTCTGTTCGGACACCTTAGCTACTTTCAAGGACGCCTGTCCAGACTTGGTGTCCAGGACCCCAGGAATCCAAAGCAGCCATTCACCTGCCCCATCTGCTCATCCACACACGTCCCGGCCACGGGAACGTACAGAGCAGGTGTGCACACAGGCACCTGGGCACGGGGTGCTGGGGGCTGCGCGTACACATGTGCAGGGCCACCCAGGGAGCACAGGGGTCCTGGGGGGCCACCGCCCTCCACGCCGCCTGTCAGCACGTCTCCCCCAGCCCCCATCCTAAAGGTTCCCAGCACACCGTGCTCCTGCTGCTTAATTTTGCTGAACACCGAGTCCCAACCCCATGTTAATTGGTTTTACTCCAGCCTTTTGTGCCTCTCATTAAGTGAGGAAATGCCACCCATAAAATTTTAATTTTAAAAGCCAACTTGTTTGTTTTATATTGAAATTCCCCAGGCAGCTCCAGCAGAGAGAAACAGACACATTTTCATTTCATTAAAGCAACTTGAGTGAAGATAAAAAAGAAGCTGAAAAATTAGATTTAAAACCAGAGCAAGAAACATTTAAAGAAAATGAATGAAAATGAGCCACCGGTGGAGACCAGGCTCCACCTCTGCCCACCTTCTGCCTCTGCAGGGAGATGGTGGAGCAGGAGGAGGAATCAGTGAACACTTTGGCTGGCACCCCCAGAAGGCTGGACCATGGGCTCTCCCCCTCCCTGAAAGTTGTAAAGTGTTGTTCCCTGTCTGATGAGTACCATTAGGAGGTCAGTGACATCTGCTTCAGCCACCAACACAGAATTTCCAAATTCTAAAACCTAGAGGAAGCAGGCTGGAGGGACTCCACCACTGGGCCAGCAGCTTCCTCTTCCTCAGAGACAAACCGCCTGATGATTATAGGGTGGTTATGAGGATGAAACAGACTAATATACTGAGAACACTTGAAACAGAGTCTGGTATGCAGTGCTTATTTAATGTTAGCTTTGGGACTTCCCTGATGGTCCAGTCGTTAAAACTCCATGCTTCCACCGCAGAGGGCAAAGGTCCAAACCCTGTTTGGGGAAATAAGATCCTGCCTGCCATGAGACGCAGCCAAAAAATATGTCAGCTGTTACTATACTCATCCTGCCGCTATACTTCCATTTCCTGTTGACCTTCCTCATCTACACATCCCCTCATCACTCAAAGGTCCTTTTAATGATGTCCCTGAGCTATAGACAGCTTGGGGAGATGGGGAGTGGGGGGAGAGGTCTGATGAAAGATGGGGAACACCCATTCCCTGCCAATTCTTGTGGGCCAAATCAATTCACTAAAATGTTATTAGCAATAGAACCTTCTCAAGGAAAGCCAGACCCCTCAGGCTCAAATCCCAGCTCCACCACTCACCAGTTGTTTGTTTAGGGGCAAGAGTCTTCTGGGCCTCAGTCTCTCGCTTAATAAAATGGGACCAATAAGTGGATCAGCCACGCGTTTTCATGGAGATCTAATAAAATAAGCTCTAAGAAGTGCCCAGCACCACTAAATGCCCAGTGAATGGCTGCTGTTCTGCTTCAGGTCTGGGGGTCTGAGGCTGTGAAGATGAAGAAGAGGCTGGGCAGGTGGTACCATAATAGTGACCTCAGCTCCCTGTTCAGCGCTGTTGCCATGGAGTCGTTATTAACAGCGCTCCCTTTCATTCTCAAAAGTATTCTAATCTGGATGACTAATTATGTGGTCATCCTACTCCAAACCCCCTACTCCAGTGAGGGGGGCGTTGGAGCTTGCCCCTGGGTCCTGACTCTTGACCTGTTTTCTGCCAAACTACAGACTCCTACGCCTAAGCCCTAAGCTCACGCTTGGCTCAGGCTGAAGAAGCTCATTACCTCAATGAGCGTGATAGAGCCAGGGTGGGGAGAGGCCCGGGAAAGGCCAACCATGCCCAGAAGGTACTGGGAATGGAGTCTGGGATTCCGGGCCTCCTGTCTGCTGCTGGGGCAATTTACGCAACTCCCACAACTCCCAATCCTCAACTTCCTCTTCTCTCCGGGGAAGGTGGGGGTGGAGGGATTAGCCACAGCACTATCTCTACCAACGGCTGTAGAGATCAGATCAAACCCGCGACTGGATGTGAAACTGTTTTGCAAACTGTAAAGTGTTGCTCACGGTGTGATGAGAACCATCCGGAGGTCACTGACATCTGCTTAAGCCGCCAAAGTAGAATTTCCTGGTTCTCTTCCTGGAGGTGACCAGAGATGGGGACACAGAGGGTCACAGAGGGGCACAGGCGAGGAAGGGGGTGGTCGGGCTGGTGCCTCTGCACACAGAGGTCCTGTAACTCACAGCCCGTCCTGCAGACCCTGATCCACCTCCCACAGGCCCCCAGCACCTGCACAGGGCCCTCCGGCCCCCTCAGAGACCCAGCCCCCAGGCAGCAGCAACGGCTGCCCCCAAGCTCCATCCTCCCATCGGCAGAAGTCACCTTCTCAGAAAAGCTCAGAGAGGACATCTCAGTGGCTGCAAAGCAACATCCTTTTTATTCTAGGCAGAATTCTTTCCCAGTATCTCCCAAATTGTACACCAAGAAACGCTCTCCCCACCGCAGGATTTAATGACAGTTTCGAGAGTGGGTGAGGCTCCAGAGCAGCTCTATTTTATATATTCTTCCTAAGGTTTTGCTTGCGCAAAAGTTTCCACTGTTAAAATACTTTTTCTGCTCCTCTTCTCTTCTGATCTTCCTGAACCTTTCGGTCCTCAAACCATCAGGGGCAGCAGGGCAGGCCAGACGCAGCGTGGGGCTGGGGGAACATGGTGGAGGAGAAGGGGTGTCACAGCAGAGTGAGCAGGGGTCCGTGTAGGGGAGGCAGCCTGGTACGGGGTGTCAGAGCCCCAGCTGGCTGGGGAGAGCCTCTGTCACAAAGGGACAGCCTGGCTTCGAGTGTCAGAGCACAAATGCGGTGAGGGGGCGTCCACACACAGGGCAGCCCGGTGCGGGTGTCCGAAGCTGAGCAGGGTGAGGAATGGAGGGGTCAGTCTCGCAGAGGGGATGGGCCCAGGGTGGGAAATGAGAGGCCAAGCAGGACGAGGAGGGGGCCTCTCCTTAGCTGGGAGCCTGAGGCGGCATAAGAAGGGGGCTAACGGAGGGAGAGGGTAACCCTGCCTGGGAAATCAGACTCTGAAACAGGGGCCCTTCAGAGAGAGGACGGACAGCCCAGATCACTATCCCGCAAGCCTCCTCTTCTGCCTGCCCAAATCCAGTCTAAAGCCAAGGAGGAACCAGAGCCCTTCCCAAATCGACTGAAGTCATCAAATATTCACTGAGCGCCAGCCATGTGCTGGGCAGCATGCTGGGTGCTGGGGAGAGAGCTGGGATGGAGCACAACAGCCCAGTGGGGAGGACGGCCTGGAGCCGGCCATCGTAGGAGAGCAGTGCTGGGGGTACCCGGGGGACTGGTGGGGGGCGGGGCGGGCAGCGGGACCTCTCCAGGAACTGTCTGGGGAAGAGGCAAGTTGAGTGATGAAGGAAGATAACTTTGTCAAGTGGGGCAGCAGGGGGTCAGCAATGACTCTCAACCTTGATTCCTCCCCCAGCCCATTCTCACCTGCCCAGGTCCATCCCATGCCCAAGGGTGAGGATCACCAAGGACCTCATTAGAGGCCTTTCTACTCTGGGCCCCCAAGGGCTTCACCCTAGGCACCCTAGGGAGCTTCAGGGGTGCCACCTCACTTTTGTCTGGACCCCACTTCACCTGGGGTCTTACCTCCATGGTAAGGTCCCCCACTGCTTCTATTCCTGACTTTCAACATCTCTCATCATTGTGACATTCTGCCCGGGGTTTAAGGAGTCCCTCTCGCTTTCTTTATGAAGAAAAATGGCTCACTGAAGCCCTTCCCCGACACCGCCGCTGCTGCTGCTGCTGCTGCTGAGTCGCTTCACTGGTGTCCGACCCTGTGCAGCCCCATAGACGGCAGCCCACCAGGCTCCTCTGTCCCTGGGATTCTCCCAGCAAGAACACTGGAGTGGGTTGCCATTTCCGCTGAGACACTGATAAAATCTGTCCCAGGAGACGGGGGAGAAGCGGACCAGGTCAGCGAGTTGGGGGCTGCACCAAATCCCTCTCTCAGGCACAGGCTCCCTTCCTAGCCCTTATTATTTATTTATTTATTAATTTTTCTCAAAAGCCCTAAGCTACAATCCTTCCTTTGGGGCCCCTTCTTCCTTCCCCCCGCCCAGCTGAGATCTTCACTCATGCACCGCCCCCTCACCATCCCCCCCAGTACCCCCACCCCTCCTACCCACCCCCTCACCTTCGCACCGTCCAGCACAATAGTCCTTAGCCTAACTCCCCAAAACGCTCTTTCAGCAGACATGCCGGCAGGGTCCTACTCCAGGTGGTCCCTTCCATTTGGGCCTCAAGGTGACCTCCAGCCCAGCCTGGCAAAGGGACTATTGAGCTCATATGACCTTGCTTCCTGCAAACGGCCCCCCGGGAGAGGTCGCGGCTGAACCCCAGAAAGGGCTTCCTTTGGTTGAGATGTGGCAGTGACGCCTCCGTGCACCGCCTCCCTGCCGTTACCGGGAGGGGGCGCCACCGCCCGGCCCAGGGGCCGTGTTATTAGAAGTCGGGCCGTGTAAGCCGGGAGCCCCGGGGCTCTGGGGCGCGCGGACCTAAAGAAAGCTGCTGCAGGAGCCACAACCACCTGGTCGGAGGCGACACACCCGCGCAGAGCGGCCGGGACGCGGGAAAGGGAGTGGCGACGGGTTCTGCCTAGTCATCGCCTGCGAAGGCTCGCGTCACCTCTGATGTCAGGGCTTCCAGGGGCTTCTTTCCAGTTCTAGGCTCCGGGGAAGAGCGTCGCAGGGCGCAGACGTTACACAACTTCCCCCAAGGTCGCGTCGGAAGGGACCCGCAGAGCCGGGATTCAAACCCGCGTCGGCGGGCATGTGTCCGTCTGGCTGGTCCACAGGTGGCCCGGCTCCGCGTGGCATCCTTCTCAAACTTACAGCACAGCCCGCGCCAGCCTTGGCCTGGCTTCCTTCTTTCTAGCCTCTCAAATGATCTTTCATGGTAATATATCCTTGGCAGGTTTTTTTTTTTTTTTTAAGAAAGCCTCCTGAAACCACAAATGTTTCAAAATGCATTCAGGTCCCAAATTCCCGGAGTAGGGTGGGGAGGCAGAAGATGATGGAGAGGCTTTCAGTGTGAAAGTTAGTCAAGGGCGCGGGGGCCCTCCTGGACCTCCAGAGCTGGCGCTGCAGAGACAGGAGGGCCCCCCTCACGCCTCCGCAAGTGTCTCCTTTTGAAAAAGCACCGATCCTTATGCTCTGAGTGTTTTGAGCCCGATCCATTATGAGAAAAATCTCCTTTTGAGGATGGACATATTCAAATCCAGATGTTGTCCTCACAGAACAAAAAGCTTCCTCCAAACTCTCTTTATGAAGAAATAGTTTCTCATCCTTTGAAGGGATAACATCTCTTGATAAGTGGAATTTTTTTCCCCTAGCCAAGAACCTTCTGTTCTGAATCTGTTAAAAGCCAATTTAATAGCCTGTCTCGCTTCCACTTCTGATGCCAGGATGGCAGCAACAAGGTGGAATGTCACCTGCTGCTGGATTCAATACATTTGAGTATGGCTTCACTAAGAAGAGAAAGTTGGATTTTTTTTTTCGTACACATCATTTATTTAGATAGATTTCTTTAAAGTCAAGACATGCATTCTAATAGGGCAAATGTAAGATGAAATACAGATTGTCAGAACAACTTCCCAAAGTGTACACTTCATTTTGCTGATTCAAAAAAGCTTGAATAACAACTTTTCAGAAAGAAGGATGCATTATGCATGAAGCGTACACACTGACTTAAGACAGCCCCAGTTTCAGAAATATTCATTTCTTAAAGTACACCTTAAAATAGGGGAAATATGGATTACATATTTGTTGACTATGATACATCTATATATAGCAGACAAAGGATGGTTTTATCAGTAGGGCCAGTATTTTTGCTGAAACTGGGAGCTTGAAGCAGGAATCCTTTCCTCACTCCACTTGCATACTACCAGTGATGGGGTGCTCACTATTTCCAAACACAATCATTTTCATTGAGGGACAGTTCTGTCGGAGTTGGTTCTCAGTGCTTTGTCATAGCCACGTTCTGGCCTTGGAGCCAGGCAGGGTTACTGTGGCTCCCACCTCTGCCCCTCTGAGTCTCTTCTTCAAAGTCATTATCCCCCATTCCTCACCATCCTTTGCTCTTGTTTCCAGTTGCTAAGTCATGTCCAAATCTTTTGTGATTCCATGGACTGTAGCCCACCAGGCTCTTCAGTCCATCAGATTTCCCAGGCAAGAATATTGGAATGGGTTGCCATTTCCTTCTCCATGGGCTCTTCCCGATGCAGGGATTGAACCCATGTCTCCTGCACTCGCAGGCAGATTCTTTACCACTGAGCTACCTGGCAAGCTCCTTGCTATCCTTTGTCCCTCCACAAACTGGACTCTGGTCTCTCCCTGCACCCTCAAAGCTATGGCAACCAGAATTGAACCCAACCTTCCTTCCCATTGTCACCTCTCTCATCCTCAGTCTATACCACCAGAGATGCTGCCTGAGATCACATTAGATTGGGAGCAGCCATCTTAACATGGGATTGTACTGAAACTTCAGCCAAAACCTTTTTCATGCAAAATCTTTTCATTTTACATCCATCCTTATTCTGTTTTACTTCAGGGGGTTTCGTCTATCCTTTCACCTGCTTTTGGTGCTTTTGAACCCTAGTACGGTCATTTAAAACACCAGCCACTGGAACGTCTTTGGTGATCCAATGGCTAAGACTCTGCACTCCCAATACAGGGGGCCCACTTTCTATCTCTGTCAGGGAACTGGATCCCATGTGCCACAACTAAGATACAGTGCACTCAAATAAATAAATGTTATAAAAAAAAAAAAAAAGTACCAGCTCCCAGACCTAGTTTTAAGTCATTTGCAAATCAAATAAGCATGCTTTGTGCACCATTACCCCCACTGTTTACAGAATGTTGCATGGTGACCTCACCCAGCCAGCCAGTGGCTCTGGGACTCAGTTTCCTCATCCACTGATGAAAAGTGAAGAGGCAAACTCTAGCACTAGAGTTTGAGTACAGTGTGGGAGATGCTATGCCAAGCCCTTAACCTTAATTAACCTCGATGTTGGTGACTCACCAATTCTGTGAGGGAAACATTAGCATCCTTCCCATTCTGCAGATGAGAAAAACAAGGCTTTGCCGGATTTGAGCCTGGTTCTATCTGGCACCCAGCCCCGTGCTTTCAGCCCCAGTGGTTCACTGCCTCATCAGAGAACTGGATCTTTGATATGATGCAGAATAGAGCCATTGGGCCCCAACAGCAGTCTTCTTACAAGTTATTAAACAGCACTCCTAGGGCACCCCTCCAAGATCCCCAAGTCCCATGCGCACATGGATCAGAAGCAGTATAGAGCTGCAAGTTGAAGGGGAATTCAGCAAGGAATAGCAGATGCTTCAGTTAGGACATGTGTGTGTCTATGAGTCTGTAAGGGTGTCTGTGGAGGCATCTGTGTGGGTACAAACGACCAAAGACAAATGATGATCACAGAAAAATGGGCCCCTGCCCCCCTTTCAATATGCCTTCAGAGTGAGGTGGAGTAAAAGCTTGCAAGAATGACTGAAATGAAGTTGTTTGCCAGCTTGGTGGAATCGGGACGCTTGGCGTCAGAACCTCAGGCAGGTTTTTGTATGGAAAGAAAGCGATACTTCTTACACACCTGAGTTAGTCTGCGAGTCAGGCCCACCACACCCCGGGACCAGAGCCACATGGCCTCATTCCATATTCCCAACAGCCCTTGAAAAGATGCTGTTTTCAGAGGTCTGCTGTGAAGCTGAAAAGTTTTAATCTGCAAGTGAGAGGCTCCCCCCAGAACCTACAAGGACAGTGCTTCACTTCACATTTGTAGTTTTTAAGAGGTTCCCCCGCCTAAACTGCAGAAACTTCAGGCCCTACAGAACCTTCTCTTTTTGTTTTCCCCATTTTGAGGATGAAGAAAAGTGTGGCACAGAGATGTCAAGCAAGTTACCCAAGGCATCAGGGCCGGAAGTCAGTGAGTCAGGATTCAAACTCTTAACCCCCTCAGATGAATCAACAAGGGCTTGAGTTTTCCCAGGGGATTCATGTCTTTAAACACAATACTAGTTTCTGTTTCAATTTCTGTATTTTAATCAATTAAGGACTAGTTTGTAGGGACTTCCATGGTGACTCAGTGGCTAAGACATCATGCTTCTAATGCAGGGGTCCAGGTTCAACCCTTGATCAGGGAACTAGATCCTGTATGCCGAAACTAAGGCCTGGTGCAGCCAAATAAACATTAAAGGAAAAAAGAAACAGTTTGTATTGTTTAAAGGGAATGGCTTGAGAGACAAGAGGGCTTGTCAAATAGCGACTTGCAGTTATTCAGTCCTCTTATCACTTGGCTGAACACTCCCAGCTCCTGGTGTAGCTTTGCCTATGAAACAATTTTAAATTGTTTTTATTACAATAAAAAATTTATAGACTATGCCCATGAGAGAAACCACTGGTTAAAGACAAAAATCCTAAAAAGCAAAATTTGATACTGAAATAGAAATACAAGTTAAAAGGGAAAAAATATTAATGAAAATATTTCTGGGACCAGTGGTTAACATTCCAAGCTCCCAATGCAGGGAACTAGATCCCACATGCCTGCAACTAAAGGTCTCACATCCCACAACTAAAGACCCTGGCATAAAAGATAAATAAATGAAAAAGAAAATATTTCTGAAAATTCCTCCTATCTACACACTGCTCGGAGAAGGCAATGGCACCCCACTCCAGTACCCTTGCCTGGGAAATGCCATGGACGGAGGAGCCTGGTGGGCTGCAGTCCACGGGGTCGCTAAGAGTCAGACACGACTGAGCGGCTTCACTTTCACTTTTCACTTTCATGCACTGGAGAAGGAAATGGCAACCCACTCCAGTGTTCTTGCCTGGAGAATCCCAGGGATGGGATTCTGGTGGGCAGCCGTCTATGGGGTCGCATAGAGTCGGACATGACTGATGTGACTTAGCAGCAGCACCCACTGCTTACATCTGATCACAATTCTCATATGTTATTTGATAAATACTGTTGGGACCACTAAGTATCCATCATGATAACTAAATTGGGCTCCTACCTTACACCTGCACCAAAACTAATTCCAAACATTTTTTTAAACTATATATGTAGGAATTTCCTGGCAGTCTAGTGGGTAGAACTCCACACTTCTACTGATGGAGGTCCGAGTTCGATCTCTGGTTAGGGAAATAAGATCCCACAAGGTGCACCACTTGGCCAAAATAAATTTAAAAAAATAAAAATTTTAAATAAAAGTGTATATGTGTGTGTGTGTGTGTGTGTGTGTGTGTATAGATATATAAATGTATTAGAAAAATGGGCAAATTTGTTTCATAATCCTAGAGAGGAAAAGGCCTTCTTAGGTATCACAGAAAACCCCCAAACCATAAAAGAAAATGATCTGTTTCTCTACATAAAATTGAAAATGTTTTCCAGAGTTAAGAAAAAAAGAAACACATATACAAAGTCAAATGACAACTGACTAATAGGAAAGGAAAATATTTGAAATCTATTACAAAGAGCTAATTTTCCTTATCTGTAAAGCGATCCTATGAATGAATAAGGATAAAAGATCAATAATTCAACAGAAAAATAGGCAAAGGATGTAAATGACTGGCCACCCCTCGAAATGCAAATCAGCCTTAAATGTAAGAAAGAGAACCTTCGTCTTCACTTACAAATAAGGGAAACACAAGGAGGTACTATTTTGCATCTACTAGGCTAGCAAAGATCAAATGTCTGGTGACCACGGTGGGGCAAGGATATGGTGACATGGGCGATTTTCATCCTTGCCGGTGGGCAGGTAATGGTACAGTATATATGAAGAGCAATTTAGCAATATTGTTCTAAAAGTCAGTGCTCACACACCCTTTGTTATGGGCTGAATTGTGTCCCCCACCACCAAATTTACATGCGGAAGTCCTAATCCTCAGTACCTCAGAATGTGACACTATTTGGAAACTGGGACATTACAGATGGAATTAAGATGAGATCATACTGGGTGGAGGAGGCTTCTCATCCAATATGACTGTTATGCTTATAAAAAGGAGAGATTTGGACACAGACATATGCACACAAGAAGAATGCCATGTGAACATCAAGGCAGAAATGAGGTGATGCAGCTACAAGCCAAGGGACACCAAAAAGTGGCAGTGAACAGATGTTCCCGACAGCTCTCAGAAGGAGCCACCCCGCCGCTACCTGATCTCCAACATCCCACCTCCCGAACTGTGAAATAATAAATTTCTTCTGCCTAACTACTCAGTTTGTAGTACTTTGTTACAGGAGCCTAGCACACTAAAGCACTCTATTTTATTTTATTTTATCTACTTATTTTTGGCCCCCTGGGTCTTCCTTGCTGTGTGCGGGCTTCCTCTGGTTGCAGAAAGTGGAGGCTACGCTCCAGTCTCTCATCGCGGTGGCTTCTCGTGGACCACAGTTCTCGGGCAGGGGGGTCTTCGGTGGTTGCAGCTCCTGGGCTTAGTTGTCCTGAGGCATCTGGGAGCTTCCCACTGAGAGTGAAAGTGAAGCCGCTCAGTCATGTCCGACTCTTTATGACGCCATGGACTGTAGTCTACCAGGCTCCTCCGTCCATGGAATTTTCCAGGTCAGGGTACTGGAGTGGGTTGCCATTTCCTTCTCCAGGGGATCTTCCTGACCTGACTCAGGGATCGAACCCAGATCTCTCGCATTGCAGGCAGGCGCTTTACCATCTGAGCCACCAGGTAGCTGGGAGCCTCCCAGAACAGAGATCAAACCTGTGTACTCTGCACTCGCAGGCAGATTCTTAACCACTGGGCCACCAGGGAAGTCCCTAAGACATTCTTTGACCCAGTAAGATGAATTCATCCTTCTTTGTATTTGCACAGTTGCAAAGTGGTGAGCAGATGGCGGTCTACTTGCAGTGTTGTTTGTAATAGCTAAAGGTCAGAAACAACCTAAATGTCTATCAGTCACATATAGCCTAAATAAATGATCATACATTCTTACAATGGAATCTTCTTCAGCTGAAAATTTTTTAGTAATGAGGCAGCATAACACATACTGATTGGAATTATCTCAAAGGTCTATTAGGAGGTAAAAAAAAAAAAAAAAAAACAAGGTGCAGTTGGTTATAGAGAGGGCTTCCTCTGTATAAAAAGAAAGAGAAACAAAGTAGAACGTATTTGAGCAAATATATGCTTGTAGCTGCACAGAT